TTACCACTTTTGAAACAATGGAATTCTCAGCTCAAGGGGTCTTAAGGCATGATTCTTGATGCTTTAGAAATATGAGGTTACAAGCTTTGTAATGGAAAAAGAATGGAGTTAAATGGATGCTTGATCTGAAAGTTGTGTTGAGTCAAAGTTGGAGAAAAATGGTTGACTTTCCATACTTAGAAATATTCCAAATTCTTCTTCAAAAATGACCTATAATGTCTTGCATCCAAACATGGCCTTCCACTTGGAATTTGCTCTTGACCAAAAAAGATGGCATGAAGTAGATCTCTCGAGTGAAATTTTGAAACTTGAATCATTCAAAATCTCTAAATTTGAGCAAGTTATGACTTGTTGAAGTTGGCAAAAAATCATGAAATAACCTATAATCTTTTGCATCTTTAAGGAAACTTCCATCCATTTTCTCACTTTGCACATAAAAGAAGGCATAAAGTTCACACCTTCAAGATCATTGTGGAAAAATAATGGGCTCAAGGTGATAAAAATTGACGAATTTATGATCATTTGAAGTCACACATGGAAAATTGGGTATTCATCTAGAGGACTTATAATCTTTCTTCCTCATTAAGCCTCTTCCTCATGGAAACTCCTTGAAACTTTTGAATTTATTTGTTAATAACCCTTTTAAGAGAATTATGTCTTTGGAATCACTTAAAAATACCAAAAGGTGAGCAAGATATATCCCTTTGAAGTTCAAAACCCTAGCTCCTAGATCAAGAAAATGCTTTGAGAAACTTTGACAAGCTTGAACAAACTTCTTGTGCCAACATTATTGCTTTGTGAATATAAGTTGTTTAAGATGATAATGAGAACTCTTAGCCACCAAAACCACTTTCATATCTTGAAATTTGAGAGAAATATGCTCTTGTGACCAATAGGAACAAGGCCTTGTCCAACATGACAACTTCTTCAATCAACCCTTTGTACTTTTGAGTCAAATCTAATAACCTTTAAATGTAATGAACCAAAACAACCTTGTTATGCCAATTCTTCCAAAACTAATCCAATGGTGAGGTTTGAACTTCTCCAGCTTTATTGACTAGGGCATGGACATAAACTCATGAACCCATAGGGTAACTTGTTAAATCTCATTGCCTTTACCTATATGGATAACAAACAAGACAAACAAACATTGCATTTTATTAGTTAAGTAAAGAAATCAAAAAAATATTCATGATCATAAAGGGAACATAAGTCAAGGTGCTTGGTAATCCCTCAAAAGGGAAAAACTAAATGTAGGGAGGGGAACCAAGAATCCTAGTGTGATCTTGTTGTGAATGAATCAACATGGTATGATGAAAGGATTTTAGGGGTAAAAATTAGGGTACAACAGGGGAGGACCAATTTGTGGTACCGAGCCAAAAACATCAGCTCATCTCATAAAAAATAGTGGGTCAAACGGGTCAGTCTAATAGGTTTGCCCTATTTTGCCACCCCTAAATATAAATATTACTATCTTTGTTCTAAACTAAATGTCACATTTGTAAAATATTATTTGTTCCAAATTAAGTGTCACTTTTAGTTTTCAATGCAGTTTTAGTTTTTATCTTTAAATTATATTTTCTAATTAATACTTCTAATTTATTACTTATTCCTCTCAACTTTTATTAATGATAATTAGAATAATAAGGATAATTTAGTGAACTCGATATTATTTTTTCTACATGTATCATATTTGCTTAAGAGTGAAGACTCATTTGGTCCCTGCAAAAACTAAAGAAATCAGATTAATCCACCATAAAAAGGACTAGATTTAACCTCTTATAGAATTTAACTGGGCCATAATAATCTTTTTGTTAATATTTCTCTAAAATCGATTTTTTTTCATACTTTTAAATCATGACTGGACCATCATGTTGAATTATATTTTTTATTTTTTAAATACTAAATTGATTTTTAATTTTAATTTTAATTTTATTTTTAAACAATACAGATTTGAAAATATAAAAAAAAGCTAAAACCGATTTCTAGAAGGAATCAAACCCAAGACCTTTAAGCCACATCATATGCCTCTACCACTAGTACAGTGTATATTATTGACAAATAAGTCTCATGATTTATAATAAAATAAGAGATCAATTTTATGAATCAAGTAAAATAGGAGGATCAAAACTGTAATTAAACCTATTTAAAATAAGTAGATAAGTAAACGTTTATACTCACTTATTAAGTTAAGCATTCATTGTTTAAAATATTAACAACAATGGGTTTAATTGTAATGTTACTACCATGGTTACAAATTTTATATTTTATATTTTAAATTCAAAAATGTTTAACATTATTATAAATTATGACATTTATCTATCTCTAATATACATTGACTTAATGGTAAAGACATAAGATATGATTTAAAGATTTTGATTTCAATTCTTTTAAAGAACCAATATTATATTTTTTTTATGATATTTTTAAATCTGAAATATTTAAAAATAATAAAATTGAAATTAAATATAAAAATCAATTTAAAAGTAGAAAAACAACTAGTTTGTAAAAAATATTAACAAAAAAACTAATATGTTCTTGTTAAATTTAGTAAGAGATTAAATCGGATTTTTTGTGGGGACTAATTTGGGTTTTATAATTTTTGTGAGGGATCAAAATTGGTTTTGGCTTTTATTAATTTGTATGAAAGTGTCAAAATATGTAGGGGTGTAATCAGATCGGTTTGGACCATTTTTTGGTAAATAAAAAGTTCTGAATCGATGATATTTCTATCGGTTTGGTTTGATTCAATTTTTAACGTTTTTCAAAAATGGCACCGAGCCAAACTAACCGATTTAGTTTGGTTTGGTTTGATTGATCGTTTTACAATATTTTTTCCAAACATTATATTCATCAATGTATTCTCCACTATCGGATTTTTTTGGTGTATTTTATGTTATTATTTTTTAAAATAATACATTTCATGTAATTTATTTCATGCTCTATTTTTTAAACAAATTACAAATTGCTTTTAATCCATACGAAACAGTGACATGATTTCAATTGTACCATGAAATAAGTTCGTTATCAAATATAAAAGGTTAACATTTAACATCAAAATATTGGAAAGATAAACATAACAAGTAGAATTAAACAAAACACACGTCAATTAACATGTTTCACATCTCAAACACACATCAAAACTATTTTGTAACAAGACTGAAAGAAATTTTGTTGAAGAAGAAGAAACAAAGAAGATAAAAAAATATGAAAATTAACGAAGAGAACTTGAACACGAAGAAGACGACCATAACATATCAGAATAACGATAGTAAGAGCAACAATGGTGGCGGACAGCGAGTCTTGCTAAAAGGAAGGAAGTGTAAACAAATATGAAGAATGGTTGGACCGATAAAAAAAGTAGTCTTAATGATGAGTGGAATAAAAGATTTAGAGCGTAATTAATTTCATTGGTTCGATTCATCATTTTGACGGTTCCTAAAAACTAAAACCGAAAATCGAACCAAACCATATTGATTTTTATTGGTTCATTCAAGTTTATAAACAAACAAGAAACAATCAATTTTATTTCGATTTGATTTGGCTTGAATTGTCGATTTAATTAGATTTTTCGGATTCGCTTACACCCTTGCAACTATGACACTTGTAAAATTATTTATTCTAAAATAAATATTATTTTTAAATTTTTCAATACATTTTTAAATTTAATCTTTCAATTATATTTCTAATTAATACTTCAATTTTACTATTTCTCTCTTCTTACATTAATCTATTTCTCTCTTCAATTTTACCACTATAATTATGTTATTAACCAAATAAAATCAGTTTTATCATAGATTTTCAAGGACCTAAAGGTAATTTGCATCCCTAATAATTTCTTTAATTTCAAATTAATCTACTTTTAATCATTATTTAATCTATCAAATACCCTAATTTTAAAAATCATTAATTATTGGCAACTAAAACAGATAACTTTTACATTGGATGTACCGTAGTGTCACTCAAACGTTTGAGTTTTGCATTGGAACAATACAAACCCTTTCCCATTCCAATATAGAAATACAATTTATTATTCTCTATTCATCTATTATTTATTTGAATCAGATTTGTTTCATTTTATTCATCTCTTCTGTCTCCTCCGTCTCTTTCGTTATCTTTTTCCCCTGTTCTGCTAGTTGTTCTGTCTTCCACCTTCTTCTTTTCTTTCTCTCTCTTTCTGATTCTCTTCTCTTTCTGATTCTTCTCAGAATCCTCACACCCTTATTCCTTTAACTCGTCGGACAGGGAAACAACTTCAGTGGTTACTTTCCGGAATAGAGGCCTGCACGAAGATTATTTGGTCGGAGGTGATGTTTTATTGTGACCGAATCTGTTGGCTAAAGATAGTATAGTGTAATAATGAGTTATGTTTCCATTATCACTATATGCTTTGCTTTTTCAATTGATTTTAGATTTAAATTTGGATCTGAGTTTGATTTCAATGAATTTTGAAAAACTTTTGTTTTTATTCCAGAGTCTCTCTAAAAAACTCTTAGAATCCTCCTCCTCTTTGATTTTTGTTATCAATTTATAAAGTCTATTTATACAATATTATAATTGTTTCAGAGATGAATGAAGAAAATTTTGTGTTGTAACTTTTGTTTGGAGTGTAGAATTGGAGAAACTTTAACCAATTTTAGAAAAAAAGTGGAAGCGTATAAGAGGGGAAGAAGGCAATGACAATAGAGAGACACTCTTTTTCAATTTGTTTTATTTTTAATTATTTTAAGGAAATTAAAAGTAAATCAATATATAAAAATTGATTACCTCAATTATTTCATTTCAAACAAGTATAAATGATTCTTATTTTTGTTTTTCAAATTGAATTATCTAATTTTTATTTTATTTTATATTTATTTTTGTTTACGTTCAACCCTAATTAGTTTTAGACACTTTGTTTGGACATAATCCATATCAGTTTAGCATAACACTTTAGATTTATTTTCCTATCGGATTTACTCTTGTTTGATTGTTGTGATGGTGTGTAGGTCTGTGAGAACATGAAATGGGAGGCTCAGGTTGAACAAGATCTTGATATGATGCTCAAGAAAGCTAAGGCCGTTAATGAAAGATGTTACATTGGTTTGTCTTTCAATTCTCCTAATTTATTTTATTTTGCTTTTAGATACTTTATTTATTCAATTGTTATTATATTTTGTGTAGTGTTATTGTCTTAATGTTTTGATTTGTAATTTGGATGAGGGTTTGGTATTATTTGGAAACTAGTTATTGGAATTTGATTTTAGGAAACAAGATTTGGTTTTGGTTGATTGTATTTATATATTGCATAATGAATCAGTATTGGGCAGGGGTAAGACAAGTATGAAAAGACTCTTATATTTTGTTCCCATCATTTTTTTTCATTACAAATATATTTCTATTTCATTAGTGTCGAACCAACAGAGCTCAGTCATATTAGATTTTTCAATGTCCTTCCTTTGTTCTTTCAGCCAATTGTAAGTGTATCCATCACAGGGATTCTTCAATAATGATCAGAACATTGTTTACAGGAAAACCATATCATAAATCTTCCAATGTAAAGGGTGTCGAGGAAATTTTTGTCCTTTAAAAACACGATGACAAAAGTAAGTAGGAATCACATGTGAAGATTATGTGATTTATTAGATATGATAATTTCCTAACAAATATACTAAATAAATATTTTTTTGGTATAAAAAGGACTTATTATTATTGGTTTCTAGAAGTTGCAAACTCGAATCCTTGTTGCTCAATTGACAGTGTATATGATTTTCAATTCATCAAATATGTAACTAACAAAACATCTAAAATTCTAAGGTATGAAGGGTTGACAAGTTTTAAAAGACAGCAAAAGGTGCAAAAATATATAGCGTTATTGTAACTGTTATAGTTGATGCCACAACTAGAAAAGAGGGGAAAAGAAAAAGGTCAAGCTACACAGACACTCTTGGTGTTATCTAGATTATACACAAGTCAATTTCCACTAATTATATTATTTACCTGTAGCTTTACCAGTGATATTTAGTTGTTTTGTTGCAAAGAACAGGGAAAATCAATGTTATTTTTCCTGCATTTTAGAGGCTTTTATGTCCGATTTTGAAGTATTTCCTATTTCTTTGAAAGAGTTTAAACAATAGTCTTTTCGGATGTTCTACATGCATTTAATGTATTTATGTTTCTGTTATTTTTCAGAATTCCATGATGTAAATCAAAATATTTCAGATGAACAAACTATGGATGGTATTGCACTATTACATACTATTCATAATAGTTCACGTGATTTTGTAAGGGCTTCATCTGTTTCTGGTGATGACGATACGTCTCTGAGGTTTTTGAGTTGGGTACACTGGGGCATGGAAAAGATAAATGTTCTGAGCATATTATGGACAATTTAACACCGGACGGCGACTTAATTAATCCAACTAAAACAAGTGTTAATTATACTTCATCTAACCAAGACTTTATTAATGAAGAAGTGAAAAACACAAGAAGGGGGGTTGAATTGAGACTTAAAAATCAAATGCAATAGACTCAAGATTTTTATCCGGGTTCGCTTTATCTCAAACTACTCCAGTCCACCCGCCAAGGTGATTTCGCCTATCTCCAACGAGGACTTAATCCACTAATCAAACAGATTACAAAACTACTTTGACAACTGCCAAAGTCTTCTTGAGTATGACCACAACCCGGTTTATCTCAAGGAACAATATCTTAATCAAAGAACAATTAATTGTGTACTATTTGTTTTTCGTTACAAAAATTGTATCACTACTGTGATGTATTACACAATTTGAGTATATGAAAGAATATGAATATTTGCAGCTTTTTGAGATGTATGAGCAGTCGTTAGCAAAATCGTAAATGATTTACCCTTTGAGCTTGTTTATATAGGCGTGGAAATCTGTCCAAAATAAAACGTGATAATGGACACTCAATGCACTTTCCATACTGAGAAGATTCTTGTCTGAATGAAGTTGTTGCATATGATAATGTCTTAATGGAAAAGTAACGCTTCAGGACTTGGGAATCTTGCATGTTGCTTTACTTCAGAACTTTGATGACTCAGAGATATGAGGATATGTTGGCGCGTTAGACTTCTGTTCAGAATCAGAGTATCTTTTACTTTAGCGCAGATTCTGATCATCATTCTTCAGAACATTCTGATTTGCTCAGCTTGAAAGCTTCCGTGGCTTAACTTCTGATGTCGTTTCAGTCAGAACTTCTGTATAAAATACAACACAGATTTAGAGTGCATATTTGTTCTTTGTGTTTGTTATCATCAAAACTCTAATAAGGGTTGTAGAATCAAACTATGTTCTAACAATCTCCCCCTTTTTGATGATGACAAAAACTAGGATTTTCAATCAAAAATTATAGAACAAAAAGCTTAAGAGAGTCTCCCCCTGAGTTGAGTACTCAGATAAAGATGAGTTACTTCCCTGAAGTTCCTTCTCGTCAGAGCTTTTGATGCATCTCCTTCTGTCCTTATCAGAATATGTTCCTGTTTATGCTTTTAGAAAAAATAGAGGTTAAGATATTCAGAATGTTTGAGACTTTGTCCCAATATACTATTATTTAAAATATCTTATGTTCTCCCCCTTTTTGTCAGGTATCAAAAAGCAATATAATCAGAGTCAAAAAGACGATTTGTATTGAAAACAGATAGTAATGACATATTTCAGAAACAAAGAGGATAAGATGGAGAATACAGAATATAAGTTAAAGAAAATCTAATATGAAGGGGGAAGTCGTGTGAACAACGCTTCCAGCAAGCTCTTAATCTGAGTGCTTGATTCTTCCTGCTTTCCCAGAATGTCTTTGATTTCTTTTGTTGTATCATCTTATTTGTCCAATATATCCCTGATATCTTTGTTTGTGTCTTCTTGCTTATCCAGTCGTGCGAGGATTAAAGCATTCTCCTTCTTCAACTCTTCCAGAGTTTGCATGACTAAAGACGAAGCTGGTGTATCTTCAGGGGTTGCATGTCGTTCAGAACACTCTGCAGCCTTTTCTGATTGAACAACTTCTTCTGTTGCAGTTTCCTTTTCTGGAGCAATAGTCAGAGGGTGACTATCAGAATCTGGTTCAGAGGCTTCTGAAGGTTGGTGCTCTTTCCAGGGAGCATTTTCCAGCAGAAGAATTTCTTTCTTGTCCCGGTGACTTAGAACTTGATCTTTGAAGGCTTTCATTTGATCACTGAATTTCTGCTAAGCCATCTCATAGCTCAATTCTTTCAGCCTCTGGGATTCAAATTTAAACCATTTTCTGAATCTATCCCACGGAGAATCAAAAGCAGCAGGATTAGAATTCTCTTGACTTGCTTGCTTCAAAGAAGTAACCCATTCCTGTATTTCTGTTTCAAAAATCAACAAGTTCTTACCAACATCTGATTTGGTTAAGGTTGGTTGAGGTTTGGGAATGGCAATTTTATTTGAGGTGGAAGCTATATGGTCCAGCGCTTCTAGATCAATGACAGTTCTGAGATGATCAGCTAGACAGTTCATTGGTGAAGGAGTAGAAGAATCAGAAATCAGGATTGGTGAGTGAGGAGTGTTTGGTGGTGTGGAATCATATGGGGAAGGTATTTCCGGAATAGTCCCATCTTCCTTGCAAGCTTCAAGGTATCTGACTACAACTTCTGGAGAAGCATCTATCTCAGAGAATAGTGGAAAATCCTTCAGAGGGATTCTCCTAGAAGTGATGACCTCATGAGAAGCAGTTGTTTGTTCCTTCTTAATGCTTTCAATAATCTTCATTTTCTCCAGATTCTTGGCATTCAGTGGTTTCCCAACAATTGCTTCCAGAGTGTTGATCTCTTGAGCCTCTGTCAGATGTTCTATCAGCCTGTTTTTTGTTAGAATATCTGAAATCAATCTCCCCAGAGGAATCCAATCCATCTTAGTTATTTCTTCTTCTCTTGTCTCTTTCACACTTATTCTCAGATGGTTGAAGAGCAAATGTGGAAGATTTATTTTGGTCTTCTTTGCAATGAAGTATAACAGAAACTGGTGATCAATGTTGATGTAATCAGGGGAGCTTGTAGGCTTCCTGTGATTAATACATCCCAGAATGATCCTATCCCAGATTCTATAATAATCTTTCAAGTCTCTGATCTTGTTGGATGGCTTTCTAGAAGTGAAAATGACCCTAGCAATGGATTTTAGGTCAGAACAGTTATCAGCCATATCAATGTATCTGACTCCACCACCATTGTACCCAATGAGTTTCCAAATCAAATCTTTTGTAATCACTATCTTCTTCCCCATAACATATGACGTGACCTGGTGGTTGGATGAAGTAGCATGAATCCAAAACTCTTTAACAAGAATGGGAAATGTTGGACCCAACAGACGATCAAAGTATATGTTCCATTCCTGTGCAGTTACATATTTATACAGATCAAACTCGTTTTCCTGTAAACTCTCAAAGTCGATGATCAATTCACATAGAACTTTAAGGTTGTCGGCGGAGTGAGCAGTGTTCTAATGGGCTCCTTATACTGATCTGTTGACGAAGAACCAGGAGCACTGTTGAGATTCTTGAGGCTTGATGAGGATGCCATTGTTCACACGGATTCTTTGAAGAAAAACTAATATAAAGGGTTTTTGAAAAACTAGAGCAAGAGAGAATATTGAAAGCAGTAAGACGTGAATGAAATAGTAAATTGAGTTTTATAAACACTTTTGAAAACGTAATTAGTAAGAAAGAGAAAATAAGTAATGATTATACTGAATTAATGAAACCTGAAATTAGGGGATTTCGTGAGATATTGAACAGTTATCAATGACAAGTGTCTCAATGCATCCAATCAGAGCCTTGGACCCTTCAGAATTTGAACACGTGTTCAGCCTCAGAAGGTAGCTTGTGAGAGGATGACAGATGTTTGATGGTGTGAACTGCACGCCTCTATCTTTGAAATGAAAAGTTCAGATCTTCATAGATAGGTTTTGAGGCAACTGTACTCCTAACTTCTGAATACAAGTTGATCAGATATTCACAGAAAACAATAAAATTCTGAGGGTTAGAATATGCAAATAAAACATTTTATTCTGGACACAATTTCATGCTGAGATGTTTCAGAATGAAATTGAATCTATCTTCAAAGAGGGGTTTTGTAAACACATTAGCCCATTGATGGTCTGTGTCAATAAATTTTAAAGTGAGAATCCCTTTCTGAATATAATCCCTAATAAAATGATGTTTTATTTCTATATGCTTAGCCCTAGAATGCAAAATGGGATTTATGGATAGACAGATGGCAGATGTATTATCACAGAAGATAGAGATGTTACTCTCAAACATGTTGAAGTCTTCAAGCTGACTTTTCATTCAGAGCATTTATGTGCTACATCCAGCAGCTTCTACGTATTCAGCTTCTGCTGTTGACAACGCAATTGTGGATTGTCTCTTGCTGGTCCATGAGATCAAATTGTCTCCCAAAAACCGGAAGCTTCCAGAAGTACTTTTACGCTCTACTCTGTCTCCAGCAAAGTCAGCATCACAGTATCCTACTAAGTTGTATTCATTGGATTTTCTATAAAACAAACACAGGTTAGTAGTACCTTTCAGATACTTGAAAATTCGCTTAACTACTGTTAAGTGAGATTCTTTAGGATCTTATTGGAATCTAGCACATAAACAAACACTGAATAAAATATCAGGCCTTGAAGCCGTCAGATAAAGGAGAGAGCCAATCATACCTCTGTAGATCTTTTGTTCTATCTTTTTACTTACCTCTTCTTTTTCCAGAATGCACGTGAGATGCATTAGAGTCTTTGATGGCTTACATTCAGAGAGGTCAAATTTCTTCAGAAGTTCCCTGACGTATTTGCTCTGGTGAATGTGAGTTCCTTCTGGAGTCTGGTTTATCTGAATTCCCAGAAAGAATTTAAGTTCCCCCATTAAGCTCATCTCAAACTCTGCCTACATGCACTTAGCAAATTCTCTTCCCAGAGAAGGTTTAGTAGATCTAAAAATAATGTCATCTACATAAATCTGACAGACTAAGATGCCATTCTTAAATGTCTTACAGAACAGGATTGTGTCCATTTTCCCTCTGGTGAATTCCTTTTCTAACAAAAAGTTACTTAGCCTTTCGTACCAAGCTCTGGGAGCTTATTTCAGACCATAAAGTGACTTATTGAGTTTGAAAACATATTCTGAGTGTTTGGAATTTGCAAACCTAGAGGATTGGTGCACATATACCTCTTCATCAATGTAACCATTTAAGAATTCACTTTTGACATCCATCGGATACAGAGTGATGCCATTATTTACAGCAAAAGAGATTAAGAGTCTGATAGATTCTAACCTGACGACTGGAGCAAAGGTTTATGTATAGTCTATCCCCTCTTGCTGACTATAACCTCGTGCCACCAGTCGTGCCTTGTTTCTG